AAACACTTTACATCTGTAAACATACAATCTTTTAGCCGATCACAGTTATTTTGCTTGTCAAATAATAAAGTACTTTATGCATTGATTCCACTGAATGCTATGGTTTAGTTCAGTTCAATACAATTCGGTACAGGGCACCCTGATCAGGTTTGCGTTTCTACTGCCAACGGTACTCTTTTAATAAGTGTTGTGTATGCCAGAACATTGCGATCAATACTACATACTCCATCCTCATACTACATAAAATGTACTTCATGACTGTGTTTAGGACAAAATGTTTTAATTTACATCACTTTTGATGATATTATTGAATCACGATAAAATGTATGTCAATAACAATGATAAACTCTGTACTTTTTTACTCTATATTGATCTAAAAGCCAATCACACAGCAGAAATATGCGACAATGGGAATCTAAAAGTGTGTTAATATTAGAGACGTACCAAATTTTTGGCCACCGAAAATTTATCAGCCGGAAATATGTTATGCCATTTAATGGACCCTGTAATTTTTGTGACTATAGTCATTAGCTATGTTTCCATCCAAAAATGTGAATGAAATGTATGCGCAAAACTGGATTATCGCATAAAAGACATGCGAATAAAGCAGCGTTTCCATCCAACGGGTCAGATCGAACAAAATTATCACTTCATGATTAACTGGCGCCAAATAACAACAGTAAAAACGAAATTTGCTGTGGCAGGAAAACCTACTCTAATAAATGACTTTCACCTCAGAAGCCAATCCTGACACACAGTGAACACTCAGTGTGCTCAGCCTGTTAGTTTGTCCATTCACACATATATCTCTTACAACAAAATTACATGACCTTTTTTAATGTGCATACTGAAATATATGCGGTAAAAGTGTTTCCATCGTAGTTTATGCGCATAGTTTCTTACCGAATAAAAAGTTTAAGCTACTCAGTTATGCGAATATGTTTTTTATGCACATTTTCAAAATATATGCGCATCACGGCATTTTCATCAACCGTTTTTTTACGCGCATGAAAATAGGTGGATGGAAATATAGCTAATGTTGTGGTTCGGTTCATTTGGTCCAGAACAGGGGCAAGAAATGATACAATGTAGCATTTTCTGCCGTCTCTGGCTTCTTTTCACACCACACTGATTGCTTTGGTTCGAACCAGTTGGAAGGAACCAAAATACAGATATGTGACAAATTCCACATCACTCATCGGCCATATGTTATTGAACCTATTTCCTATTTACTGCTTTTTAATTGGTCAGAATTAACATGCGGGAAAATGCCAATGGAACTCCAGCAAGTAAACAAACCAGCAGACAGCTAATGTTGCTTTTGACTATAGAGGGACGACTGCACTGACTGATTGTATCCTTGCTCATAGTATACCATATAGTTTGTATACATCACTTTAGACAAACTATACATTTCGAGAATGAAGCACGGCTGCGACTGGAAAATTGTTTTAATGCATTGCAAACGGTAAATGCACATCACAAGTCACTTCAGAAGGAGTGACATGGTCAACTCCTGGAAAAATTACCAACGATCCATCAGGTAATGTTTTTCCCTCTCTCTCTGTTTAAAATTGTCGGTAAAACGCGGTCAACAAAAAGTTTTCCTCCACATTCCATAATGCACAGCGCATCATACTATGGAAGCTGGATTAGTCCAAAAGGGCGCGGTACTTTTTGCGGTTGAGTCTGTTTTAGTTCAGATTATATTCTCGCCACAAACAAAGCACTCCAGGGTTGAAAGCGTACCGAGACCACCTCATCAAGGAGGTCTCTGTATGCTTTTTTGGTCCGCTTTTGCTGCGCACTCGAGTTTGATTGCTACATTCACACCAGCCCAAGCGTACTGCACCAAGAGGGAAAGTGAACTCTAGCGTGATTCAATCGAACTAAATAAGGCAGGTGTGAAAGCACCCTAAAAATCTGGAAGTATTAACAAGTTATATTGAAAAATATATTGTTATCGTCCAATTTGGAAAATAATCATCAAGACTGCATTTTTGCCATATTGCCCAGCCCTAGTTTACAATAGCAGTACAGTTTTTAAAAACATGGACTGTGAAATTATTCTTTTTTTTAAAAGTTCTGAACCTTAAGGGTCCCAAAACACCACTGGTGTTGTGTGAATAAACAACCAAAACACATAAAGTTTCATGACCATAGAGAGACCCCCAGGTAAACATCCCCTTCTATTTGCAGTTCACAGTGTTCCTCAGCAATAAGTCAGTCATAAAGATTTGGACGATTATTAGAGTGAATAATTGACGGTAGAAAAGTATTTTTTCCTGAATTATTCCCCGCAGTCAAGCCTCAAACAACTGTTCATTCCTCACTGTTAAAAAAAATATGTTGAACTATAATGAGTCTGCCGATCCCTCCATCAATTTGAGAACCACTGCCATTGTGACATACGTTTGGCCTCAATGCCTTTTCCGGCATTTATTTAGTGCTTTTCTTCCCAACAACTCATTCAAAATATTGTTGCTCTACAACAGATCTATAAATATCTACGATCTCTCAACACAAATGATGACCGAGTCCTTCCTGGTGTGTGACCTACCCCTGCCCCCTCTGCTTCTGATATTTATTGAGCCCTCTCAGATTTCTCTACTAACACAGAGTCTATATTACCATCCAATAAGGCAGTAAATTCAAGGCTAAAGTGGGGGAGTCATAAATACTAAAGCAGCGATATATAGGATTACACTGTTAGAGGAATGAGGAGAGCAGTGTCAATGCAATCTGTCTGATTTCC